CCACCACTCAGTGGTGGGGGCGGGGGGGTACATTAGGCCCCCCCAATTTTTATTTATGCCCCCACCCACCACTCAGTGGTGAGGTCCGGGGGTTACATTAGGCCCCCCAATTTTTATTTATGGCCCCCATCCACTGCTCAGGGGTAGGAACCGGGAGGGAGGACAATAGGTCCCCCCTTATTGTTATTTATGGCCCCCACCCGCTGCATAGGAGTGTGGGCCGGGGGGAGGACAATAGGTACCCCCCTTACAGTGGCAGATCCAGAGCCTGATCTCGGGAGGGGCACTTGTAGATTATTTAAAGAAATAATCCAGACACAATAACCACTACATCTCAGTGTAGTGGTTATGGTGTCTATAGTGCCAGGACCCCCTCCCAGAGTACGTAGTCAAACCGTTTAAGAACAGTTTGACAACTTACCTGAGGTCTGCTGGGAAATGGGGCAGTAGTAGTGCATAGGAGCAGTAGTGTGTGTGAGTGGTGCAATGTGTAAGGAGTGCAGTGTGTGTGTGAGGGGGACAGTGTGTGAGCAGTGTGTGTGTGTGAGGGTGGCAGTGTATGTCAGGGATGCAGTGTATGTGTGGGACAGTATGTGTGTGTAACAGTTGCAGTGTGTGTGTGTGTGAGTATTGCAGTGTATGTGTGAGTGTGGGCAATGTGTGTGTATGGGGCGGCAGTGTATAGGGGCAGTGTGTGTGTATAGGGAGCAGTGTGTGTGTATGGGGGCAGTATAGGCGGGGAGGTGTGCATGGGGGCAGTATAGAGGCAGTCTGTGTGTGTATAGAGCAGTGTGTGTGTGTATAGAACCCAACTCACAGTGTATAGGGGCAATTAGCAGGTGTATGAGGCGATATGGCAGGGAGCAGTGTGTATAGAGGCAGTATAGAGGCAGTGTGTGTGTGTATAGGCAGTGTGTGTGTGTGCCATATGGGGAGCGAAATAAGGTGTATAGAGGCAGTGTGTGTGTGTATATGGGCAGTGAGTGTGTATAGAGGCAGTATGTGTGTGTATAGAGGGCAGTGTTTGTGTGTATGGTGGACAGTGTGTGTGAGGGTATTGGGACAGTGTGTATGTATAGGGGCAGTGTGTGTGTGTGTGTGTGTGTGTGTGTGTGTGTGTATGGTGTCTGTGTGTGAGGCAGTGGGTGTGTAGGGGTATGGGGGCAGTATGTGTATAAAGGCAGTGTGTGTATGGAGGGGCAGTTAGTGTGTATAGGGGGCAGTGTGTGTGTATGGGGGGCAGTGTGTGTGCATGCATGGGGGCAGTGTGTGTGTGTGCATGTGGGCAGTGTGTGTGCATGGGGCAATGTATGTGTATAGGAGCAGTGTGTATAAGGAGGGCAGTATGTCTGTATAGGGGGCTGTGTGTGTGTGAGGGGTGCAGTGTGTGTGTATGTGCGGGCAATGTGTATGTATGGGTGACAGTGTGTGTGAGGGTATGGGGCAGTGTGTGTATAGGGGCAATGTGTGTGCATATAGGGGCAGTGTGTGTATGGGGCAGTGTGTGTGTGAGGGCTACAGTGTGTGTGTATAGGGGCAGTGTGTGTGAGGGTATGGGGCAGTGTGTGTATGAGGGGCGGTGTGTGTGTATGGGGGCTTGTGTGTGTGTGTATGGGGGCAGTGTGTATGTGAGGGCTAGAGTGTGTGTGTATGGGGCAGTGTGTGTGGGGGAGGGCAGTGTGTGATGTGAGCAGTGTGTGTGTGTGGGGGGGGTAGTGTGTGTGAGGCTATGGGGCAGTGTGTAGGGGGAGCATTGTGTGTGCATAGGGGGCAGGGTGTGTGTATGGGGCAGTGTGTTTGAGAGGGGTACAGTGTGTCTGGGGGGGAGGGTGGGTCTGGGGGCAGTGTGTGAGGCTATGGGGCAGTGTGTAGGGGAGCATTGTGTGTGCATAGGGGGCAGGGTGTGTGTATGGGGCAGTGTGTGTGAGAGGGGGTACAGTGTGTCTGGGGGGGCAGTGTGTGTGTGTATAGGGGGCAGTGAGTGTGTATAGGTGGCAGTGAGTGTGTATAGAGGCAGTGTGTGTGTGTTTAGGGGGGCAGTGTGTGTATAGAGGGCAGTGTTTGTGTGTATGGTGGGCAGTGTGTGTGAGGGTATGGGGACAGTGTGTGTGTATAGGGGGCAGTGAGTGTGTGTATATGGGGACTGAGTGTGTGAGAGGGGTACAATGTGTGAGTGGTACAGTGTGCGTGTCTGGGGGGCAGTGTGTGTGAGAGGTACAGTGTGTGTGTGTGTATGGGGGGCAGTGTGTGTGTGAGGGTATGGGGGCAGTGTGTGTATAGGGGGGGCAATATGTGTATGTGTATGTGTATGGTGAGCTGTGCGTGTGTGTGGGGGGAGTGTGTGTGTATGGGGGAAAATTATTGTGGGTCTGTGGGGTTACAGGGTAGATTAATACATAATAAAAAAATAATTAATTAACAAAAATAATCATTTTGATAACCCCCTCCCTGCGCACCTTTTCTTGGGAGGGAGAACAGTACTAATGCCGGGTGGTCTGTGGGGAAGCCCTGGTGGTCCAAGTGGTGACAGTTAACTCTAGCAGCTCAGGCAACACTCCAAGCTTGCAAGAGGAGTGCAAGCTCCCCCGGATCCTCTCTCCCTCCCCTGCCGGCTGCAGCATTACCTTGCTAGTGGGCCGGCGAGGGAGATTTCTGATCTCCACTCCATTCCCGCAGAGCTGGCAGGGGAGAGGGAGGCACAGTTCCCGGTGCTATGATCATAGCACCAGGGAAATATTATGCTGCAATTTATTGCAGGTACGCGAAAGCTTTCAAAGTTTTGCAAAAAATTCTTGCGGACCACCAGTTGAAGACCAGTAAACTATAGTACTAACAGTGTAGCAATCACCATAAAAACCAGTGGAACCAGCAAGCACATTCCACTGGTGATTCCTCCCCTTTTACTTTTTTGCCCAGTTTTTAGAACTTAACACTTTGGTAAATCTCTCATGATGTTTCTCTCTCTCTGTTCCTCCAATGCACTGTTTTTCCTGTCCGTGCCTATACTAACCTGGATGTCAGTTGCTAAATCTATAAAGGGACACTCAGGGCCGTCTTTAATAATGATTGGGCCCGGGGCAAGCATTTGATAGGGCCCTCTGACCCTAACTCCCTGGCATGCAATCACGATCTCCACTTCCCAACGCAGTAACGGAACCATTTTCCCATGCTTGCAGAGTTGTATTTAGCACTGAGTTGTGTTTGTGTGTTTGAATGGAAGCATGTTTTTGTATGGAGTGTGTTTGTGTAAATGTAGGGGTGTGTTTGTAGGTGGTGTTGGTGTTTGAATGCAAGCATGCATCTGTGTATTTTTTTTTTTAATGCTGGGTGTGTTTATATATATTTTTGGTGTTTAACACAAAGATGTATTTGTATGTATTGTTGACGTTTCAATGCAGGACTGTGTTTGTATGTAGTGTTGAAGGTTGAATGCAGGGGTGTACTTGTGTGTAGTGTTGGCGATTTGAATGATGAGATGTATGTACATGTACACATACACTGCCACACACACACACTGTGATACACAAATACACACTGAAACACATGCAGATACACAGATATAAACACTGACACTCACACTAACACACAAGCAAATACAGACTGACAGATACACACACTAACACATACAGACACACAGATACACAACCTGACACACATGCAGATACACAGATAAAAACACTGACTACATACAGATGCACACACACAGATATACAAACGCAGGTACACACACTGACAACATACAGATACACAAATACATACAATGATAACTTACAGATACACACACTGACACACATACAGACACGCATATACAAAATCTGAGACACATGCAAAGACACACAGATATACTAAATACAGATACACAGATATACATACTGACAGACATAATGACACACTGACATAGTGACACACACTGACAGACATACTGATACACAAATAGACACCCTGACAGACATACTCATACTGTACTTAGATACACACAACATACTAAGACACACACAAATACTGACACACACATGCAACGTTTACATTTTTACACATTGACAGGCATACTGACACAGTGACAGACAAACTGACATGCACACTCACAGACAAACTGAAACGCACAGACATACTGACAGGCACAGACAGACAAACTGACACGCACAGACATACTGACACACACACATAAGCCCTGACAGACATACTGACACACACACAGACATACTAAGACACACATACACACACACACAGATTTACTGACACACACAGACAGACATACTAAGACACACACAGACACCCTGACACACAAATACCCTGACAGACAAACTCACACACATACACACATACTAAGACACACACAGACATACTGACTCACACAAATACTGACACACACACATGCAAAGTTTACATTTATAAAGCCACCCTCCAGCCCTACCTTATGGGTTCCCTGGGGTCCAGCGGCAGGCTGAGGTCGTTGGGAGTGTGAGGCTCCTGCACTCCAGCTCCCTCCTGACGGCCTCCTACTCCATCCCGCGCGGCTTCATTCTATCTGGGAGGAAGTGACTCACGGGAGTCACTTCCTCCCAGTCTGCTGCGGTAAAACCACGGGGTCATAAGTGCCCGACCGCGGCCTCTTAGTGTGGGGGCTCCCGGTGCAGCCGCAGCACCGGCGGGCCCAGGGGGTAGCGGACAGCGGGGCCCACGGGGTAGCTGCTTTGGGCCCCCCAGGAGTAAATGGGCCCGGGGCAGCTGCCCCGTTTGCCCCGCTTTAAAGACGGCCGTGGGGACACTATAGTCACCAGAAGCACTACAGATTAATTCTGGTGTCTACAGCCACTCCAGCACTATAGTGTTAGGATTATATGCTAGTATTCCCTATGGGAAAGCATTGGATTGGCTAAAAATCGGCCATGTTGATGATGTCACAAAGGGGGAGGAACCAGCACCGCTGGAAATAAGGTGAGCTTAAGGGGCTAAGGGGAGGGAAAGCCACCTAAATGGTGGGTTTAGCACTATAGGGTCAGGAATACATGTGTGTTGTTATCTGCTCTATGCTTGTAATTTCCTGTTCTAGTTTATATTGTTTTAGTGCCATCCTTCCCTCTTCTCTCTTCGTGTAATTTATGTGTTCACGATTCCAGACTTAGACTAACCCTTGTCAATGACTGTATATTAAAGTAAACTATTTAGCTGCCAAAATTCCAATTTATTTACTTTTTTCTACCAGACCTCTATATTTTTTGATTAAATCTCTTGCTATATATTACTAAACTAGTTCCCAGAGCAACTCACGCACAAAAAAGGTAATATTTCAAAATTGCATTTAAAAAAGAACATTATGTGATTGCTAAAAAAAACCTGAAAGATGATTCTTGCAGTTTTTTGTTTGCATTTTGAAATACAGATGCATTTTAAAGTGTTTGTGTGTAAAGGGAAGGGAAAGATTTAGATTACACATATGCCTTATTCTGTTTCAATGGGACATTAGAACCAAATCTGCTGCCAGTGGGAAAAAACACATAAATTGGAAATTCAGCTCAATCAAGTATAAATCAGTACATGTCAAGGCTACCAGGTAAGTAAAGGGATCTCTAATTGTATTCCTGTACTATTGTGTTTTACACCCCACCTCCTATAGATTGTAAACGCGTTTGAGCAGGGTCCTCTTCAACCTATCGTTCCTGTAGGTTTTCTTGTAATTGTCCTATTTATAGTTAAATCCTCCCACTTATAATACTGTAAAGCGCTACGGAATCTGTTGGTGCTATATAAATAGCAATAATAATAATAATAATAATAATGCAGACAATGGATAGAAAGAAGCATTACCAGACCTCAGAATGGCTGGGCTTAACATGAAAGAAAGAAACAGCAAGGAATAAACTCAGTTGCAGAACAGTAAAACAAGCTAAGCTCAGGACTCCAGAGTGCAGGTAAATCAAGACAAACTAAGGTCAGTGCACTCAGCAATCAAAGATTGTCAGTATACAGCACCATGTCAGGAAAATGGATAACATGTACTCCATAATGCAAAGTGAAAAAGATATATAATTTAGGTGGATCCACGGAAACATTGCAAATAACATCTTCAATTAAAACTTGCAATTTTTGGGGAAATAAAAAAAATATATAAAGTACAAATATATATATATATATATATATTTAATCCCTAAGGCTAGGATTATATGCTAGTATTCCCTATGGATTGGATTTAGTGTGGAGGCTCATCGACAGTAAATTAGATAAAGTTTTTGCACTATTCAGGGTGTTTTTTAATCCCTACCATCCATGACATGCCAAGATATGTTAGTTTTATCCTTATTTGCTACCCGTCTCCTTGATTATGCCGAAGGTCAACTGGAAAATTACCTCAGAATACTAAATGGCAACAATACATCAAAAAATTGACTCTCAGAAGGGAAAGAACATATACAATGAAACAGAAAAGTAGACAGATAATGACATTAGGGAATTTAAATGAAGCTGATATTATCTAAATTTGGCAGAGTAGACAGAATCTTTTTGGTTTTGTTATTCACTCATAAATACATAGCACGCGTCCACCCCTATTTAAACCCGGATGCGGATAAGGTGCTGGTGCATGCTCTTGTTCTCTCTCGCCTGGACTACTGCAATACTCTTCTCAGTGGTCTTACGTGTTCCGAACGCAAGACGGAAATTTTCTGTCATGCTTGTCCTAGTGTTAAGGGCGCATTTACTTACGTTGACCCCAGATTGCTGCAATTGCGGTGATCGTGGGCTTAAAGCTGCTCCTGTTTGCCTCGGTATCCGAGGCAGACCAGGAGCGCCCCATGGCACTGTCCCTGCAGCTGCTTCTGTGCTGCAGGGACTTCTGATCCGCCTGCTCTTACGCATTCAGTGTAAAGTGCAGGGAGACAGATCAGAAGGGATCTTCCTGTGTTTAAAAAAAAAAGTTATTAAATTGAAATCCCACCCCCTTTTACCCATTTAAAATAAAAGTTAACCGCTTCCCTGCCAACTGATCACTGACTACAGTAATCAATTGGCAGGGACTACATTTCACTGTAATTTGATTTTTTTTAACCCCTGAGGGGTAACTTAATTTTTTTTGAACCCTCAGGGATTAAATTAATTTCATTAGTTAATTTAAATATTTTAAAATGATATATTTAGCTAGCTGGGGTGGGGGGAAGTTAGTGGGGAAGTTTACCCAGTCCTAATAAAAATTAACCCCTTCCCTGCCAGTTGATCACTGCCTGCAGTGATCAAATTACAAATCACAATGTTATACTGTGATCAAATTTTATTTTTAACCCCAGAGGGTTAACTTTAATTTTTATTTATTTTTTAACCCTCAGGGGTTCAATGTATTTAATTAATTAATTTAAATATTTTATAATTATATATTTAGCTAGCTGGGGTGGGTGGGAGGTAGTGGAAAATTGGGAGACATAGTAAAAAAAATATTTAAATAAGTAAAAAACATTTTTAAAAGTTTAAAAAAGTAAAAAAAAGTTTAAAAAAGTAAAAAAAGTTTAAAAAAGGAACAACATACATTAAAAAAATGCTCATTACCACTACACCTGGAACAAACTAGGGAAAAAATAATCCCACGCTAAGGTTCAAAAATATGCCTTTAGAATTACAGGGTGTATTCTTTAAGAAATGGTATAGGTTTGTGGTGTCGTTTGAAGATGTGCTCTGATGATAGCACAGGGAATCCTCCTTCTCCCATGCCGGCTCTGTAGGACCAGAGGGGAGATCAGAGATCTCCCTCACTGGCCTGCTAGCAGTGTAATGCTGGCAGCTGGCAGGGGAGGGAGGACCCGGGGGAGCTCTAACCTGCAGTACCGTCGGGTTCTCCTCACGCAAGCTCAGAACATTGCCATGGTTACCATGGCAATGCTCAGAATCTTGCGAGAGTGAACTCTAACAGTTCCTGAGGCTGCTAGAGTTCACTCTAGGGAGGAGTCGGGCAACTATAGGCCAGTAAGCCTTACTTCAGTAGTGGGAAAGTGATGGAAACCATGTTAAAGGATAGGATTGATGAACATCTAAAAACACATGGATTTCAAGATCAGAGACAACATGGGTTTACTTCAGGGAGATCATGCCAAACTAATCTTATTGATTTTTTGATTGGGTAACTAAAATTATAGATCAGGGTGGTGCAGTAGACATTGCTTACCTAGATTTCAGTAAGGCTTTTGACACTGTTGCACATAGAAGGCTTATCAATAAACTGCAATCTTTAAGTTTGGATTCCAATATTGTTGAATGGGTAAGGCAGTGGCTGAGTGACAGGCAACAGAGGGTTGTAGTTAATGGAATATATTCGAAGCTTGGACTTGTCACCAGTGGGGTACCTCAGGGATCTGTACTTGGACCCATTCTCTTTAATATTTTTATTAGTGATATTGCAGAAGGTCTTGATGGTAAGGTATGTCTTTTTGCTGATGATACTAAGATATGTAACAGGGTTGATGTTCCAGGAGGGATAAGCCAAATGACAAATGATTTAGGTAAACTAGAAAAATGGTCAGAATTGTGGCAACTGACATTTAATGTGGATAAGTGCAAGATAATGCATCTTGGACGTAAAAACCCAAGGGCAGAGTACAGAATATTTGATAGAGTTCTAACCTCGACATATGAGGAAAGGGATTTAGGGGTGATTATTTCTGATGACTTAAAGGTAGGCAGACAATGTAATAGAGCAGCAGGAAATGCTAGCAGAATGCTTGGTTGTATAGGGAGAGGTATTAGCAGTAGAAAGAGGGAAGTGCTCATGCCATTGTACAGAACACTGGTGAGACCTCACTTGGAGTATTGTACTCAGTACTGGAGACCGTATCTTCAGAAGGATATTGATACCTTAGAGAGGGTTCAGAGAAGGGCTACTAAACTGGTTCATGGATTGCGGGATAAAACTTACCAGGAAAGGTTAAAGGATCTTAACATGTATAGCTTGGAGGAAAGACGAGACAGGGGGGATATGATAGAAACATTTAAATATATAAAGGGAATCAACACAGTAAAGGAGGAGACTATATTTAAAAGAAGAAAAACTACCACAACAAGAGGACATAGTCTTAAATTAGAGGGACAAAGGTTTAAAAATAATATCAGGAAGTATTACTTTACTGAGAGGGTAGTGGATGCATGGAATAGCCTTCCAGCTGAAGTGGTAGAGGTTAACACAGTAAAGGAGTTTAAGCATGCGTGGGATAGGCATAAGGCTATCCTAACTATAAGATAAGGCTAGGGACTAATTAAAGTATTTAGAAAATTGGGCAGACTAGATGGGCCGAATGGTTCTTATCTGCCGTCACATTCTATGTTTCTATGTTTCTTTGACCACCAGGGCTTCTCCACCGGACCACCAGGGTTGCCTTGTACTGTGCCCCCTCAGGCAAAGGAAAGCAGGGAGGGGGGATATGAAAGTAATTTTTTTTTTATTAGAAAAAAAATAAAATTATAAAATTATATATTCATCTGCCATCCTACCCCCGCAATCCTATACACACAATTACCCCCCATACACACACACACACACACACACACACACACACTGCCCTCCATACACACACACACATTACCCCACATACACACAAACCGTACCCCTCACACACTGCCCCCCACTCACACTGTATCCCTCACACATCCTGCCCCCCAAAAAACACTGTACTTTGTATAAAAAGGTGATTAACAGAACAACATATCATTCAAACAAAAGTCCAGTGTTGGCAGTTGTCAACACTCAGTCAGGTAGCCGCCAAGACTCAGCCAATTTCTTGTGTTCGGCAGAGTCCCGAATGAGTCCCCAAGATATCGGGGATGAAGGGAAAGAAGGTCAGGAAGACCCAGTGTGCCATACGACTTCAGCCCCAGGCAGCAGTCGGAGTCAGCACCCAATGCCCACTGACCTCACCCGCAGAGGCTAAGTTAGCTTTCCATGATTTCAACACACATATACTCACCCTCCCACAATCAGTACAGAATACTATAACATGAGTATGTCGGGAGATTTGCGTCAAATGTATAATTCCATCTACATATTTTTTTTTAAGATCTTGCCAAGCACAGCATATACATATGGTTTTGTTCTCTCTGTACTGGCACAAGATGAGTTAAAACCAGCTTGAGATCTGAGCTGGGACCCACCAAAGGGCAGGCTATTTTAGCTGCTGCCCATTCTCAGTATTCTTTTGCGCCCCGTTTTTTGCTCTCCATAAGTTTAAAGGGTAGTCCAGATGTGGA